TGGTGCGGCGCTTGACAACACTTTCGTTGTCGTTGCCTTAGGTACTGTTTTTGGTTTGGCACCTTTGGCGACGGAGACGATGCCACTGCCTGATGGCGGGGCTATGGGCGAGGTGGGCGGCGATTTGCATGCCACGTTCTTTTTACCAGCAGCGTCGGCTTTTGTATGCGCCTCCTTTGGTTTATCTGTTTTTACTTCCGTCTTCTTGCTTTCACTAGCACTTTGCATTACAGTTTTCGCTGTTGTTGTTGCTGAAATAGATGTACCGGCTACTTGCGACTCAGTCAGTTGCGTTGATGTTGCCAACTTTTCGGTTTTCTTAGCATTCCGATCAGTCGATGCGGTGACGGATTTTGGCGTTGCTGTGGTTTGGATTGTTGTTGGTGCTGATGTAGTGGTTGCTGTGCTTGTTGCACTCGCTATTCCTGTTTGGCAAATGAATAATTTCGTTTGTTCGTTGTCGTTGTCGTTGTCTGCTTGTGGCGTAAATTTGTTCGCTTGTTGTTCAGGTGACTTGGCTGTTTGCCCGAAATTTATTTTGGTCGCGGCGCTTGTTGCACTTGGCGATACCGTTGTTGTCGTTGCTGTTGTTATTCTTGTTGTTTTAGCAGCCGTCGTCGAGAATGTTGGGTCATTTATCGTTGAAGTTGTAGCTTTTTCGGTTTTTGACTGGACTTCGGTTGGTGACTTTTGTGCTGAATCGAGTGACTCTTTCGGGATTGTTTTTGGTTTAACGAATCCAATTTCTTTTAAGGTCTTCTGGTCCTTATTGTCTTTCTTGCAAATAGCGGATTCGGTAGACTGTGATCTTCCGACCACGCCCTTTTCATTGATCTTTGAAATATCTTGATCGGCTTTCTTCAGTGCTTCCTTTTTTTGTGCCGTTACCGCGGTCTTTATTTCTTTGATGTTGCTAACGTCTTCTACAGCTTGGGAATCCAAGAGTTCTTCTCGCTTTTGCCATTGATTTTCAAGCTGCCCCTTCTTTCGGTTTGTCATATAGACTGATTCGCGTTTACCGATTTGAGCCCAAAAATCTTCACCACTGTCTGATTTTTCAATGGGGTTCGATTTAATATTCTCTAAAGTTTTTTGTATAACTTTTGGCTTTTCTGTGCTTAGCGGCTTTACTGTTGCTGCTTTCAAGTTAGTCGGAGATATTTGCTGATTTAAATCAATACACTTGGGAGGCTGAAACTTTTCCGTAACTCGATTAGAAGTGTTTACGTTGAGTTTTTCTGCAGCGGGATCAACCGAAAGTGATGGCTTCAAAACAGTCATGGGTGTCGTTTTCGGTGGGGGTGTAGCGATCTTCATTACCGATTCGTTAGATTTATTGCTCTTTGGTGCTTTGCTTTCACTCGTCGGACTTGTGATCTTCTCTTTTGACTCATGTGCTTCAGTCTCAGTATTAAGTTCCATGCTAATCGGTTCAAACGTAAAGATTTCAGCAGTGCTGACAAACGATTCTTTTTTAGGCGTTTTGGCTTTCGGAGCAACTTTTGACTTTGGACTTGCCTGCATAAAACCCTCGGGCAAAACCACTTCTTTCGGTTTCGAGACCTTCTTTACACTCTTTCTTTTGGGAAGCTTAAACACCTTATGAATTTCATGGTGCTCTTCCATGGATTCTACGTTGAAGGTGAACTTCGGCTGTGGAGATCGCTCCTTACCAGCGGGCGTAGGAGTGGGCTCTTCCTTTTCTTGTAGCACCGGCAGGAGGGGTGCATTCTCTACCTCGACGATAGCTGTAATTTTGTGCCTGATCTTTTTGCCTTTTTTTGAAGCCCGTTTCTTGGTGGATTTGCGATGTCCTTCCTCGACTGTACTATCTTGACTCTCACGTCTTTCTAAATGAATTAGCTGGAACGTGCCTGAGGGTGAATTTTGTAGTTGATTGAGAATTTCTTGCTCTTGTTCTTGAATTAGTGAAGCGCGTCGCCTTAGCTCGCCGGCGTTCAGGTCGTCGTCAATTTTGTCTGATGATATGTCCTCGCAAATATCATGAAAGGAGGGACACTGGGGAATACTCAACCGGCGAATGGAATTACTGGCGGGATCCAAATCCATTTCGACAACTACCTGATCGCTCATCTGCTCTTCTGTGGCATCGTCAACTGTAGGTGCCGTACGTCGGCTGAGTGTTAAGTCGAGTTCATCAGTTGCGGAGTCTTGTATTAGATAGCGTTCGCGAATTAAATCGCCGGGGGACTTTTTTATGGGGTATTTGGGCACAGCAGCCAGTTCATCAGCCAGCTTTTGCCGCCAGCTCAGATGTGTTTCCGTGGTGTGTAATGGTTCTATGGTTGGGAGGTCCTTGAACATTTTCGTCTTCGGCTCCGGCGACTCATCAGTGCCGGAAGAAGTGGATTTTGTGGCACGATTGCGATCTTTACTGCGCGAGCGGATTGTGGATAGACGGACGACAGGTCGATCGCGTTTGATTGTGGATCGGCTGACCTTGTGTTCTTCAACTTGTGCCTCAACCTGTGCATCCACATCGCCACCTTGCCTTTTCTCCGCATGCTTAACTTCAGGATCATCCTGCTGAACCTCCTTCTCCTTCTCCTTTTCTTCTTCGTGATGCGTATGATGCGTATATCGTGACGAAGATACATCGATGTCGGCAGTATTAATGGCTATTGGCCGCGGTGGCACATATTTTGTAGCTGCGTTGGTGGTGGGTGCAGAGTAGGAAGACACCTTTGGCGACTGTATGCGTGTTAGGGGCAAAACACCGCCGTGTCTTGCACTGATGAGGGGGGAAGTTTCGGTGATTGTCGACAGTTTGGGCTGATATCGCGACGAAAGACTATGGGTTGTGGTGTAAGAGGGTGTGCGCGGCGGTGCCAAGGGTAGAATATAGCTACCGCCGAACGTCCGGTTGTAGGTGGACGAATAGGGCGCATAAGAGCCGCCCGAGGAGCTTGTAGGAATCGCATATAGACCGGGGGTGTAGTAGGGTGCGTAAAGCTGGCTGCTACCGCCACTGTAGTAGTATCCTTGATCCGTGTACAGCGGCATGGTGCAACGGCTAAACTGCAGTACTGTACGAATTCGTTAAATACTCGGTGCACTTTGCTTTTAATTATAAAAAATGTTTCTTCCTTAGCACACAAATTGATCTGTAATTAATGTCTGCGACGTTTGTATTTATGTACATATGTATGTATCTAGGTGTGTACGGTGTATCACTTTTATATGTACTTTGTGAATTTTATTATTGCTGCTGTCACTTTAAATGCTTGAATTTGTGCGCTTGTTAAATTTGTTCGACACTCGTTGCCGTCTCTTCTGGTACAAATTAGCCTATTTTTAGCATCACCTCGAGAAAAGCGCGACAAAGCTCTGACGTTCGAATGCGGCGATGACTTTCATCATTTTCCCAAGATTTACAGTTATATATTAAGTATCTATTTAAAAAAAAATTTTACTTCAAATATTGGTAGNATGTATGTGTACCAATGTACATACATATATGCACTTTATTAGTTGGAAACCAGCAAACTCTTTGTTCTTTTCGCTTGTTTTTTTTTGTTTTCTATTTAAAATTTACTTGCCGGAAGATGCGAATATTTATTTTATTGTTTAACGATTTCACGTGTGCCAAATGAGTGCTGCTTTTACTTTTCTCCCTCTGACGTTGTGAGTCACTTTCGCTTTAGTTGAGCAATTCATTTTTATGGTTTGTGATGATAAACTTTCGTTGTGCAATGCATACATATATACATATGTATTTATGTAGTACAAATATACATACATACATACATACAATATGAATATACCGTTGTCGAAAAGTTTGTATAAAACCTCTACAATAGAAACGTTTAAGAAAACGTTAAGGGCTTTCGGCAGAATGGGGTACAGCAACCGTGGAACTCTCTTCGTCGAACGTTTCCACCTAGCAAGGTTCGGACGATACTGCTACATATTATTCCATGCAAGGCAAGGGCCTTAACAAGGTGAGCTCCTTAATAAATCTGGCACTCCACCATATTCACAAATGGCCCGAAAGGGCACAAAATACCAGAACGGTGGAAGCCTGAGTTAAGAGACGCGTGTCTAGTGCAGAAAGATTAGAAAAATACTTGGGGTAATCCTGGATAACAAGCTGTCAAGGAAAGCGAAAGTGGAGAAAAGGACGAAAAACGTGAAATGCGTGGCAGTAAAAAGATTCTAACCAACTTGTCCAAAAGATATGTTCATTCACCGTGAAACTAGTACCACCGGGGGACAGCGACGGATAAGACAACTTTTACTAAACATAAATATCTGGTTGCTGGAAATCGAAATGTGGCCTACTGTTACACGCCGATCATACGGGCATAATACATAAGTGTTACCGCCAACTAAAGGGTAACACGAGCTACATCACACCCTTTATAAAGGATATATCCAATTTGGAAAATGCTTATCAGTCACGAATTAGAACAGAAATTATAGCAGTAAACAAAGCAACAATACATACACAGTAAGATTAGGTACACTAAAGCAATACATTTTATCACAGAAAGCCAAGCCGCCATACAGCTAATAAAGCCCAAAGTGAGGGCTTCAAACGGAGTCCTTGAAAGTGGAAAGGCATTAAAAAATGTCGGCAACTAGGAAAATTTACTTGTACTGGGTTTGAGGACATACATACATGTCTAGAGACTAAGAGGGAAACAAAATAGTGAAGACACTAGCTAAGGGGGGAAGGGGGGCCATTGCCATTTTCACAAAGCCGTTTTCACATAGTCCAGCCGATTGCGAGCCAAAACGATT